CTCAGGCCAGAAGCCAGGGAGCACTAGAGCACAGCTCTCTGGCTGTGTGTTCACTTCCTCTTCCTCTTCCTGCTGCGCCTGAGGTTTTCGGGATTTGCAGTCTACACTCGCACCAACAGGACTCTACAGGGCTGTTCATCACTTCTTCCAGCTTCCAGGTTCTTCTGGGATTTGTAGTCCATAGTTGCAGCTGGCAGTAAATTTGAGTGGGGGAAGGAGTGTTTAACTCCCCTCCCTGGCCCCAGACTCCAGCCAGGGTTTGCCTGGGGGGCAGCGCCCTCTCCCTTCCCCATAGACTGGGCTGCATCCCCAGTCAGGCTTGTCCCCCCACACTCCTTTGTCAACCAGCCCTCACTGCTCCAGCTAGGGAGCAGAGGGGTGGGGCTGGAGCAGAAGCAGACAGCCCAGCCCAGCCCAGCCCAGTCCAGAGCTGGAAAGCATGCTGGGATGCTGGGGGACTGTGATTTAACTTGAACCAAGAAGGGGTCTCGGGCAGAAGTTTCATAAACCAGGTTGAACCAAATCAGTTAAGTCTGATACTACATTCAGCCAGGTTTATCTTAAACAAGTTTCAGCCATTTTGAAACTGGTTTATGTGCACTGAGCTTCTGTTCTGTTACAGGTTTAAACCAATTTCTGATCACTTAAATCAGTTTGTGTGTAACTTCTGTCCCTAGCCCAGGAGACCTGCTCACTTCTACCCCTACCCACAGCCCCTCAGCCTGTATCCCAGAACAGCAGACTTAACAAGGGGCTTCCTCGGTAATTTTCTTCCTACAGGCAGAACCTCAGTCCCCCAGCTGCCGGGGACGGTGAGTTCCTGTGGTGGGACCGGGCCCCCAGCAGGGGTAGCCAGCAGGAATCAATCCTCCTGCAGTGATCATTGCCTGGACAGCACCTTGGGACAAACATCATAGCACAGGGTATCTTCTGTGCCAGCCCCATGGGGGGGTTCATGCCGTGGCCTCGACCCCATTCATAAGGCCTTTGTGGGGCTGTCGGCTTCTGGCTCCAGGAACATGGGACAGATCGGCAGGGCTGTACCATGGCAGGGCATAGCTGAGCCTGCGTGAGCCTCTCCATAGCAAGGCCCCGAGGTTGCCGGGAGCCTGGGAACGCAGCACTGCCTTGGGGACGGGCAGTGGGAGCACTGCTGGGACCAGCCCCATCCAGACTGCAGCAGCCTGTGAGCCCTGCCCTCCGCACTAGTCCATAGGCCACACTCTTCATCATCCCTTCACTGTGAATACCCCCTCTCCCTCTTTTCCCCCAGGGTGGGGACCGTACCTACTTCTAAATCAGGACAGTATCCAGCACTATGAGGCTCTGGTGTTAGCTGGGGCCTCCTGCCTCTGTCCCTGTAAACATGATTAATAACAACAAGGATGCTGGGCTCATCTGGAACAGCCTCACCTGATCCTGGAGATGCTCTTTCCATCTCAATGCACCCCAGGCTGGAGGCTGATCCAAGCAAGGACCCCTCTCCATCCCCCAGAGAATTAATTCCAGGTTTCCCCCCCGGACTACATGAAGCAGGTAGGAGCCATGAAATGAGTCTCATGTTGGGTCAGTCAGGCTTCAACGGGTCTCTCTCTCCCCTGCTGTATGACAAGCCACCTGCACTTAAGCTACACTGGCTGAAGGGGGGACAGTCCCACTGCATAATGACTCTGGAGCTGCCACATCTGCATTGGCATTGGTCACGCTCATATGTGGCACCAACAGCTGTGGGGGTACGTCTTGCTGCTCATAGCACTCTTAGCTCCATGAGTTCTTTCCCAGTGAATGAGGAGAGAGCTTGTTGCTCCTTCCTGGGCCAAAGAGGGAACTATGGGAAGGCACAGGAGGAGTAGTAGCACCTGAGTGGTACTAGCCTGCACCCACACAGCACAGTGGTTGTGCTGGCAGCTGAGGCATTATGCTCCCTCAAACATAAGCTAGTTCCCACTACGGGGCAGCTATCCTATGCTAAAGTGCCACTGGGTCTGAGTTAGGGACTTTGTGTGTGGAACAACCTAACCTGCTGCAGGTAAAGCAGGGGGGTGAGGGCCCCCACTTTCATCCCCTCTCTGGAGTGTCAGGGCTCCATCCACTCAGGGCTATATAAACCTAGAACAGATGGGTTCAAGCTGTTTGGCCTTGAGGGGACTTAGCTGGGCTTGGTTTGGCTTCTTGCCTGGTTGGAAGGCCTGGCTCAGGCCTGGTTCCTGCCTTGCCTCCTGGGCTCCTGAGGTCTTCAGTCCTAATTCCAGCTCTTTGACTCCTTGGCTTTGGACTCCTGCCCTGGGGGGCTTTGGCTTCTAGCCTTGACCCTTCAGCTTAGGACCCTGGTCTTGGCTCCTGGACTCTACCCTCTGCCTTGGGAGGCAGTCATGCTGATGTTGATCAGTGGATGGTTCAAACAGCATATCCCTTAGGAGCTTGGGGAGCTGGAGATGCGAGGAGCACCCAGTCCTGCAAACAGCAGATGCTCTGCGTGCCCCATCATGGATTCATTCGTAACAACCAGAGGCCTTCCAAGTTGTGATATCAAGGGTTGAGGAGGAAGGAGCCCCATCTGAGAAGTGAGTGACAAGCTCAGAATCAGCATGGCCATGTGGGAATAGATACCAAGAGTCCTGGGCCCCTCACAGGAAACTGATCTTGCTACAAGATGGTATTATTTCCCCCAACCCAGGAGTCTTCACTCCCAGACCTTTGCTTTAGCTCCTTAAGTAACACTCTTCTAGACTTGGGAATAGGACCCAGGAGTCCTGAGTTACTCTTTTTAATAGCTAGGCTACACAGGGTCAGGAGTCTTACTCTCAAGCATCCTGCTCTAATTACTATATCCCATCCTCTTGCCAGAACCCAGGAGTCCTGAATTCCAGCCCAGGGCCGGACACAGTGGCATTAGAAACTTCAGGCTGCAAAAACTCCCACAATAACAAATAGAAAATGACTTGGAAGTTTCCACTGCTTCTATAGAACCACAGGAGTGGAAACCAAGTTCAGGGGTTTCAAACAGATACTCAATTTAAGTCTTTCTTAATTAGCTTCTCAGCTGTCTGCCTAAACTGGCCTCTTAAAAAAGGAGTCTCCATCCAAGAGAAATCAAAGTCTTGTCATCCAGATAATTTTGACGATAACAAGCTGGGATGTCCAGCAATACAGTTGGCCATCAAATACTCTTGTGTGGGGAGCAGAGAACAAGGTTTGACTGGGCTCTAACATGTATGTTTGAAGATTGATGTGTGCATGTGTGTTTTGCTAAATATGGTCTGTAGTGTGGATGTGGAGCCCTGAGCACTGGCTGCCCCCAAACCACGAGAGAATGCCTGACAGAACTACGCATGTATTTTTAGACCCCAAAGGTTTGTTCTTCCAAAGTTTCCATAATGGAGGGCCGAGGACAGGTGTGAAAGGATGCTGGAAGAGTGTTTTGTGACTATTATGTTTTTAAGCAGAACCTCATGCCTGAGTTTATAATGTGTGAAAGTATGAAGTGAAGTGCTCATGGGGGGCACAGAGAAGTCCTACAGGACTAGTTTCAGATAAGCGTACTTGGTTGTTATTAAAATGATCACCCATTATCACAGTGAGCACCAAGCAGGCCCACTACACCATGCTCTGTAAGTATGCATAGTATGAGATGGTCCCCCACATGGTGGGTTGTGATCCTCAAACTGCAGCAGAGAAAATTTAGGTTTGAGATTAGGAAAAATGCTCTGACTCTGAGGGTGATCAAGCATTGGAACAGGCTACCTAGAGAAGCTGTGGATTCTCCAACCCTGGAAGTTTTCAAGAGCAGGTTAGACAGATACTTGGCTGGGCTGTTTTAGTCACAATGATCCTGGCTTGAGCAGGCGACTGGACTAGATAACCTCATGAAGTCCGTTCCAGCCCCACTTTCTTACGATCCTATATGCAAGTCAGATAAAGGAGAAGAGGAAAAATGAAGCACAGAGGTAGGTGGTGACTCGACCACAGTCACCCAGCACAGCAGTGGCAGAGCAGGAAAGAGAACCCAGGTGTCCAGAGTGCCAGCTGATTTTTGTAAGCAATACAGAGATTTAAAAAAAATGAGCAAAACAATACAAACTTACCCTCTCCCCACTCTGGGCCTAATTGTAGACATGCTAATACTGTAATTTGTATGTACAAAAGCACATCTAAGTTACGAAGAATGGTTGGCTGGGTTTTCAGTGTGCTAACAACATGCTTTAATGCATATGTTGATGGGGCCTGAGATATTTTAAATATATTACGAGACCATGTTTCCAGGGGTACAGTGCAGAAGAGAACTGAGTGTACAATGGAGCCCAGACTTTACCAAAGAGTGAACATACATAAAGGCAGGAAGATTTCTTTCCCTTGTGCATAAATAAGAAGTAACTTAAGCTCAAAGCAAAACCCCTTGTGTCTGTGTGTGCCTACACACACATACATTCACACACATACATGCGTGTGTACACACCTAGTAACCCCTTGCATGCAGCCCCTCATGCACTGCTTGAACAGAACTCTTCTTCCCCTGGGAAGTCTAACAAACTGGAGACTTACTCTGACAAGCTTGCCCCCCTCCCCACCATGCCTCTGAGACTCCAGAACATGTTGGCTCATCCTAGTCTCCAGGACTCTGGGAAAAAGGGCATGTACAGAACAGGGTGTCCTTTGCCACAGCCACCTCCCAGGAGCACACAGCCATGACACGAGTTTGCGGGATGCTGATGCCCACCCACCAGGGGGACAAGGGGCCCTGGAAGCTGTGGCCCACGCGTTCCCCACGTAGCACGTCAGCTGCTATTCACTCTCCTTTGCCCAGGACAATGACTGAGGGTTTCTGCTTCATTTGTCGGTCTTTGTTCTTCTGCCAAGGACTGGGCAGTTGGCACGGTACATGGCAGCTTCTAGGACCAGCCACACAATACCCACCCCCTTCAGGCTCCCCCCTCCTTTAGCTTCTCACACACACACCCTGTCTGGGGAGGGCCAGTCCTCTCCATAAAACCCATTGCAGAGCAGCCAGCATCCTGTCGGAGCTTTGCCACTGCCCGCAGGACAAGGCCTGGCCCAAAGGAGCAGGAGCATGAGTGTGAGCATGGAGGGCCAGAGGCTGTCTTCTTATGGGAGGCGATTTGGCTCCCAAGCCACCATCCACCAGTCCCTGAGGTACTCTCCTGGCCGCAGGCTCCTGTCCTCCAGCCCTACTTCCCGGGTCTCCGTGACCAAAATGAAGACCTCCAGCCTGAGCTTCCGCACCAGCCCCCGCTTCAGCCAAGATAAGGTGGACTTTTCCCTGGCTGACGCCCTCAACGCTGAGTTCAAGGAGACGCGCACCAATGAGAAGGTGGAGATGATGGAGCTGAACGACCGCTTTGCCAGCTACATTGAGAAGGTCCGTTTCCTAGAGCAGCAGAACAAGGTCCTGGTGGCAGAACTCAACCAGATCAGAGACAAGGAGCCCACCAAGCTGGCCGACATCTACCAGGAGGAGCTACGGGAGCTGCGGCGGCAGGTGGACCAGCTGTCTAACTCCAAGGCCAGGCTGGAGATCGAGAGGGACAACCTGCTGGAGGACGTCAGCATACTCCGGCAAAAGTAAGGCACTGTCACGGAGCAGAGGAGCAGCTGCTGTCCCTAGTGGTGTCAGTGCAGTGAAAGCACGGCACAGAGCCGAAGGCATAGAGGCAGACAAGTCACACCAGGAGAGAGGGAGTAGTCACTTGCCTTGGCTGAGTAGCTGGAGATTCAGTACACTTTACAAGTTTTCCTTATGCTTTAAACTGATGGGGAGTAGGGCAGTGCCCTCACCCCCCTGCTTTGCCTGCGGCAGGTTAGGTTGTTCCTGGCATCCTTGGGCTACATGCCTTGTAGTTAGTTATGTGGCAGGTTGTTTGTGGGGTCTTAGGAATACATTAGACAAATACCTGTCTGAGATGGTTTGGATATAGGGATGATCCTGCCTCAAGCAGGGGGTTGGACTGGGTGATCTCCGGAGGTCCCTGCCAGCCTTGCTTTTCCATGATTTTTTTATATGATTCTGTGAGGGTGGCAGGAGGGGAGGATGAAAAGACAGATGGATAGACAGTGGTAGGACCCAGGGACTCATCTGCTGGTATGGATGGCAGAAGTCCTGGGTTCCTAATGCTGCTGCTGGCCTGCTGGGTGACCTCAGTCAGCTCACTCTCCCCTTCTCTGCCTAATGTTCACTGCCTGTAAGGAGAGCTGGGGGAGGGAGCTGTGAATGCAAGGGGAATCAAGTGTTATCCACGACCAGATTTTCAGGTGACCTCACACTAGCCTCCCATATTGCACTGGGAAAAAAAGCAACTATGCAGGAAAGTGTGGGCTTGTACTCCTGCATTTTCAAACCCTGGCCTGAGAGCTGGGTGCCCAGCTACCCAGTGTACCCATGCTGACCCCCACCTGATCCCCCAGAGCTGCTGTATACCCTCATGGGCAGGCATGAAGGCACATGTACCCAAGTGGTTTAACTAGCACAGGGCAGCAGTAAATGCATGTAGCGGAGGGACCTGCTCTCCCTGCCTCCCTCACTGCAGCCCTCTGTGACAAACAGCATGCTGAAACAAGGCTCAGGAGAAAAGACTTAGGTCTGTGAGCCAAATTGCTTGCACACTGCACATGTAACAAAAGCTCTGCTCTGCTAAAGCTCTGAGGGCAGGACAGGAGGAGGAGGGGGAAAGGCTGCCAGCCTCATTAGAGAAGGGCTTGCCCCTGTGCTGGCTGCACGGTTATGCTGGCCATACACCAGCACACTTTGTTTTTTGGAGGAAGTGTGCTCTAACAGTTTGAGCAGACAACTAGACACCCAAAGTGGCATGTCCCAGTCCAGGCTGGAAGAAGTATGCTCTAGCACCAGGTTCCCAGTCTGTCCCCTGCTTTGAGACTGGGATGCCATGTTAGCATGGGTACAAGGGTTTGAGAGTCGGGACTCCTGGGTTCCAGCCGTTTGAACAAGATGTTGACTCCGCTGTGTCTGAGGGAGGGCTCTTTGCTCACCCACAGGCCTTGTGAAACGTAGGCCCCTGACAGACATGCAAGTAAAGGTGCAATGGGGTCTGATGCAGGATCCCCACAACTGTGCTTCCATGCACATGACAGGAGGTATGATTGTGGGATTCTGCATCAGATCCCAGTGCACCTTATTGTCAGCACAGGAGTGCTCCTGGGCTCCCCCTGCACTGGCAAGTAGCAAGCTCCCATGTCTGGGAGACCCCTCAATTGAAGGGGCTCCCAGCCACTGGGGGACATGATGCACTCCCAGGGCTGGGAGCCGTCAGCTGATGTGGCACCCAGCCACTGGGGTACATCATGGCTAGGAACCCTGTCAGCTGATCCAGGCTCCCAGCTGCAGGGTGTGTCCCCCAGCTGGGAGCCTGGATCAGCTGACAGAGCTCCCATGCTGCTGGCAGCACCATCAGCCAACAAGGCACCCAGCCAGGCTCAGCCAGGCCACACATTCAATTGATGACATGATAGGAACCAGCCACAAAGTTATTCAATATTTTTGTATAATAGTTTTGTGGCTTATTCCTTGTTTTATGACACCATTAATTGCATTAATGTGTGGCTGAGTGACAACTTAAGACATGATGAACTGGTCAACCACATCTTAAATGTAACGTATGCCAGGGGCTGTAATTAGTTCATGTTTCCATTAGAGCAAGGACCCAGGATTATTGTTACTGGCTGAAGGCTGTTAGCAGCAGGTCTACCCATGTCCCAGCCAAACACAGATGCAACATGCTGCATCCTACAGTGCATGCACACAACAGATGACCCAACACACTGCACCCCACAGTGCATGTGCGCACACACATGGACACATGCATGCATGCGTGCACAACAAACACAAGCCAATTCACTGTGCCCCACTGGGCCCACACACAATAACCACTATGCCAGATTACTCCATGCCCACAGCATGCATACAACAAACACAGCCCCTGTGTGCTCCACCCCACAGAACACCCCCCAAAACACAGCCCACTGCACACTCCACACCCACAGCATGCACACAGCAAACACAACCCCTGTATGCTCGGCCTCCTGACCTCCCTACCCTGTGGCCTGCAAGCTGCAGCCCACCTAGATACCTAGGCAATCAACACAGTCCAAGGTGCTTCCTGCTGGTACCCACCACAGCCTGTCCGCATGTGCAACCCAAGCCAGCCACCTCCATGTCAGTGCAGATTTCTGCCAACATCTGCCCCCTCCCTGGGTGGGTTCTGCTGCTTCCAGCTGACCATGACACCCTCCTTGACCACAGGAACCTTGACAGTCAGGACACACTGGGCTCTACAGCCAAACCCTTGAGGCAGGTATTCTCATGCATCCGCTAGCAATCTGCCTTCTCAGCACTTGGGGCTCCTGCCCCCACATGCTTCTCCCGGCCACCACCCTCCCTTTGGCTTTCCTTGTCATTACCTTCTTGGGCTCTAGCCAGCATACTCTCCTGTGCCCTCATGGCTGGCAGTCTGGAGGGATGCTCTCTGCAGACCATCTTTGGCTTGTACCAGATCCTGGAGGCCAGGCAGCTGCCAGGGGAGGCAGCATATGAGTCCCCCCATGGCCCTGCAAGAGCCTACATCTTTCAGGAAACCTGCTTTTCACTCTAGGCACATTGCAGGGTTCACCCCAATGCCCTTCCCAACCCACCATGCCCTGGCACCTGATTCTGCCCCTGGGCCTGACCTGAGAGCTGCTGTGTAGCTGCTCTGCAGTGTGGGACTAGGCAGTATTGGGAATAGTTTCCATGAAACTTGGCACCTCTGGGTCCCTGGACCCACTCTTGCCTTTCCCAGAACAATGCTAGGGTGCTGTAAGGGAGATGTGCCTGCTGGTGTCTCATGCTGCACCTGGGATGGGAACAAGTGCACTGATGGAGGAGGGGGCTGGGGTGTGCATCATGAGGCTTTGTGGAGGTGGGGGGCAGATAGCGTGTATATGTGGTTGAGGACAGGAAGATGCCTGGAGATTGTATGCCTGATGGTGATTGTCTGTGGGTGTCCATGCGAAGGAAGGTGTGTATTAGGAGTCTTGG